GTTATGGCTTACCGCGTGTTTTAGTTGTCATTGGCAGTATATGAAAGTGTTGGGATGAGACTTTAGTTGATAAGAGTTTTTCTATCAGTATTCGGGTGTTGTGTGCAGCTGCTGTGATTAGAAGTTATCACTACGAGTGTTTGAGTTATGTGGTATATCATGTAATTGCACCTGAGGTTACAGATATGGTTTGTCTCAGCTTGTTCGGGCTTGTGCAGAGTATAAATGTGAGATTCTGATCGCATTAAAGATTTCAAAAGTGGAAATGTGGTTCTATGGTTTATGGGCTAGATTGGATTGTGAAATTTCAGTTTCTATGTGTTATCGGACCTATATGAGAAAGGGTGACGTGGGATCACCCCTGAGTATATGAATGGTGAGGCTATTCAGCAATTGGTTGGCTTTTGGAACAACTCTAGGAACGTTCGAGGACGAACGTATGTTTAAGTGGGGGAGGATGTAACGACCCGACCGGTCGTTTAGAGCTTTTGCACTTTGATCGCGAACGCGGGGGACATACCGCGTTCGCGATGAAGGAAAATCTGGGCAGACAGTTTATATTCTTAAAATCGAGGGTTTGAGTCCAATATCATAAAAACCATTGTAGAGCTCGGGAGAAGGTGAAGTTTGAAGAGATTTTCAGTAGAGCTATTGGGGTAAGTCATCTTCACCCATATTTGGTTTAATTCCATAATTTAGTCTTGAATCCATCATTTAATTTGAGAAGTTAGAGTGGAAATTGGGTAAGAATGGAAGAAAAAGTTGAGAATTATTTTGAGGATTTGAATGGGCATTTGATGTCCGAATTTGATGTTCTTTGTATGTATGGACTCGTGTGAGGACGAGAATTCTATTCATGTGACTTTTCTCGGATTCCGAGACATGGGCCCCGGGGGGGAGGGGGGTTTGAGCAATTTCGGGATTTTTGATGTGAATTGAATATTTTCGAGTGGGATTCATTCCCTTAGCATATTTTAATGATTATGTACCGATTGTGGCTAGATCTGGAGCATCCGGAGGTCGATTCGTGCGGGCAAAGGCATCGCAGGCTAGAGCTTGGACCGGATCGAGGTGAGTAATGGTTGTAAATGATGTTCTGAGGGTTTGACACCCCGGATTGCACATCGTAGTGCTGTATTGAGGTGAGGCACACGCTTGATGACGAGCGTGGGGTCGTGCACTATTGGGGACTATGACTTGGTCTGTCCCGATTGATTATTTTTCCGTGTATTTGACTGAAATCTATTTGCTATCATCATTATTTGGGCTGAATTCTATATTTGGGCTTCGTGCCAATTATTTGAACCATTCGGGAATTTGTTGTTGATATTTCCTCACTACTTTGACTTTATACTTGAACTCAGTCATGTTATTCCCACTGTTTTTTAAAACTCAGCCATGTTCACTTAGTTTTAATACTCAAATGATATTTAAATGATGTTTTGGGCTAAGAAACACTATTTTACTGTTGCCCGAGAGGCTTATTTGATTTTTGACTGAGTAAGGCCGAGGACCTGTGTTGTGAGGATATCTTTCGGGTTGGGGTGCACGCCACAGAGTTGATACACTGATTTTGATTATGAGGCCGAGGGCCTGAGATTGTACGCCACGAGGTGGCTTGTTATTGATATGAGGTCGAGGACCTGTTTATGATGCCACATGATGGCTTGATATTGCGCTTGGCCCGTAAGGGGCCCCTCCAGGAGTCATGCACAATATTACTTTTGCAGCTTCGACATTGATTTCACTGATATGCCTTCCATTTTCTTTAGTTCCTTGTCAAGTACAGTACTCTCTTTGGGTGATTTCTTCTTCACAATGGATACCCAGTCAGTTTTGGACAAACTCTCTTGGCTTTGCCTTGTAATTTGAGATGCACTTGAACTCAAAGTTGCTTGTTTCAAACTGTCTGGGACACATTCTCTTATGACAAATTCTTGTAGTCTTATTAACTTCCCAAACCATCTGCCCCGGTCTCACACAATTCGGGTTTTAAATGATCTCAAAATGTCCAAATCTTTACTTTTTTCCCTCAAGTGTCCCTGTCATCTTCAAAACTTGTTTCAATCATGATTAGACTAACTTTCAAGACTAGGCTGAGAATTCTGCGTGCAAGTCATGTCACTAGAGTCAGCATGAAAATAACTAAAAGAAAAAGAGAACTAAACAAATACGGACTAGAAGTAACAGAAAACATGAAATTGCATTAGACATAAGGTGAAAGGGTTTGAACAGTGAAGCAAGCACAACAAAACTTGGGTTACAACCCTTGAACGATCTTAGATAACACTAGACGAGTTACTACGACTAAACGAACTAGGCAAAATAGAAGGATAGAAGGGTTTGAGTCACAAGATAATATCTGGATTACAACCTAAAATAACCCAGACAACAGAAAAGACGACAAAATAAACTACCAGGGCTTCTTCATGGCTAACCAAGAAAGGAGTGTCTTTCCAATTACCATGTTCGACATCTTAGCCAGTGAGTCGCACATTGAAATTACCTAGACATTTACTAGTTTCAACCACATTGACCTCAGCGGGTGGATTTGGGGTCCTTTTTGCCGACTCCTTCTTAAGATCAACTTCCGGAACCGAGACTGATAACGCTGAAAGCTTTGCGGCAAGTGGCCCTCCGAGGATCTCAGAAAATTTCTCATATTCCTTTTCAACACAAATCATGCCCACCATATGCGTCTCATTATGAACAAGCAATGGACTTTGGCTAGTATCTGCTGAATCAAGATTTTCACGGTAATGTCACCTACATCAATAAGCTTCTGGACTGCTCTTTTCATATGCCAACATTTTTTATACTGTTCCCCGGGGCATTAGAGAAATATGTGCACCTTTGAGAATAATCAAAATTCTTTGGAAGAGGGTTCGACATTTTTATCTGAATCGGCTTCAACATGTCCAATTGCCTCAACTTTTGAAACAAACTGGCATATGATTCTCCAATAGGATTTGAAAGTCTTTTCCTTTTGTTGTTGCCTTTCATTTTGTACTCTGGCTTCGACTGAAACCTTTTGCGGGCAGGTGGATGATATGCTTGTAGAGGTGGATAAGACATTTATGGAGCTGGTGTAGGCCATTTCCGGTCTTGTGGATGTGGAACATATGGTAGTGCATTGTGGATAGAGTAATGGGAATGTGAGGTATGACTTTGGGGATTTTGTGGAGAGAAGTAGCATTGGGGAGGATTATCTAGAGTACGAAGATATTCATGGGGTCGATATTGAGGCTGAAAGCGTTGAGCAGGAACACCCACTGGATCTTGTCGTTGGCGGGGTTCAACAACATCTTTTCTATTTCTCTTTCTTCCCCCCAAATTTACTGAGATGTTTTGAATGTCTTCTGTAGTATCTTTCAATGCAGAATAACTCATGGTTTTGCCTGACTTGATTCCTTCTTCTACCATCTCCCCCATTTTTACCACATCATTGAAACGTTTACCCAAGGCCGGGATCAAATGACTGAACTAGGTGGGCCCCTAGGCTTGTAAGAAAATCTCGACCATTTCTTCTTCACCAATCGGGGAACTGACCCGAGCAACTTGTTCCTTCCATCTGAGCCCAAACTCCCTAAAACTTTCCTCGGGTTTCTTTTCCATCTTAGATAGGGAGGAGCGGTCTAGGATAATGTCTAGATTGTACTGAAAGTTTCGAACAAAATCTTGTGCCATGTCATCCTATGCATGCCACTTATTGCCATCTTGACGAGTATACCACTCCAAGGCTTCCCCACTCAAGATCTCACTGAAATACGCCTTCAATGACTCATCTTTCCCACCCACACTTCTCATTTCGCTGCAATAACCTCTCAGATGGACTACTGGATCTCCACGCCCATAATACAAGTTAAACTTTGGCATTTAAACCTCGGGTGTAGATGAATATCGGGAAACATACACAGGTCATCGTAGGACACGTTAATCTGATTTCCCATCCCTTACATATTCTTTAAGGATTGTTTTATACCTTTCAGCTTTCTAGATATCTCATCTCGCTCTTCTCTCCTTGTGACCTTTTCATTTTCAACATGAGGCTCATTCCAAAGGCTATGATTATATGAGTCCGGGACCTGGTAGGCAAATCTTAGGGGGTGGTATTGGGTATCATGAGGTTTGAATTGGTGTCCACTGTTGGACCTAAAAAGAGGTTGTTGAGAAGTTGTGATGGTGGGGTAGTGGCTATGACAGGAGGGCAACTTTTGAGAAAGGTAGTTGGAGGACGAGTGATGGAGCTACTAGGGAGGTTGGGAAAGCTGCGATAAGCGGGAAAATCTAGAGAGTATGGTGGATTATCTGGCACTATGACCGGAGTTTGGGTAAGGGTAGTATCTATGAAGCTAGGTGGTGGCGGAGGTGGTGCCTTCCCAGTCATCCAAGTCTGATACATATCCGTGATGTGTTGTCTTAACATCCTTACCTCTTCAACCAACCCAGTGTCTTGTTCAACCAATTGCTTTTGGGCACCAGTATCAGCCAACTCAATTCCGTTGTCGTCTGCCATTGCCTTTCGACTTTATGTTGTAGGGAAGAGTTACCAGTTTAAGAACCACAAACCAACCACCCTTCTGCTATAATGAAGATAACAGAGAGGAACAAAATAAAGTCATCACTTTAGCGTTAGAGAATTTAACATAATATAATCTAACATTATGTGCAATGCACCTAGTCACAATTATCGGTCCTAAAATGGCTTCGAGGGTATGAAGGTCATATGGTATCATCCCAATTCCACTCTTCCTACCCCGTTTCCTCTTCATTTTCATTTTTTTCTTGGTTTTTCATTTCCTCCCCTCTCTTTTCTTTCTTATTATCTCTCTTTTCTTACATCCCACAACTTCCTCTTATTTCTCACATCCTATAACTTCATTTTTTTTCTTTTAGTTTTAAAAAATGATTCGATCGAACCCTATGTAGGTTGCCTACGTATCATGTTCTACATGAATCAGATCAAGCGTAGTTCTGGAAATGTAATGGACAAAATAAACTAAAAACAAAAATCTTTTTGGGTTTTTCATTTATACCCTTTTTTTTGCTTTCAAATACAAAATGGAAAGTACGATGACAAAAGATTTAACAGACTCAGCCAGACTATGACAAACTCTGACCCCGCCTAAAAGACTCAATACTACTGGACAAGACTAGAAAGTAAAAGAAAACATGAAATCAGACTCAAAAAAATTGAAAAGTCTCCTCAATTAGCTCCTGAATGCAGTGGTCCTGACTGGATGGTCCTGGGGCGTCTGTCATGCTCAAGCTCTAGCAAATGGAGCCGTACCTGAATGAGAAAAATAAGACCAAATAGAGTTAGTGACTCGAGACACTATGTGAGACCATATTCCTATTGAGTCATGTAAGGCACGAGTGAGGCTATCTTTGCAAAATGACTTGCACAGCCTAAATGTAGCTAGAAGTGTAAACTCAACAAGGGTGACCACTAAGAAAAGGAAAAATATCTCAAAAAGGCCCACATGACCCCTAAACTCTCAGGAATCACGATCTCTAAGATTACTTTGCACAAATCACCCTACTTTGCAGAAATGTCCTATGTAGCGAAAATGGCTAAGCGTGCAGATTTAACAAGAATGGACCTTAAACAGAAAGGATACATTGTTGTGGACTTAGGACTCTAAGACATGAGCCACTGAACCACTTTTGCAAAAATGATCTCATTTTGCAAGAATGACCGATGTGGCCAAAAAGTGGCGAGACATATAAATTCAACAAGGACGGGCTTTGAAGTAAGGAGACAACTAATTGTGGATTCTAGACTCTCCAAACACGGTTCAACAAGCCACTTCGCAAAATAGCCCAATTTTGCAAAAATGCCGATGTGGCCAAAAGTGGCTAGACATGCAAGATTTGGCTACCACCCCCGAAGCCATGAACTTAAGACTCACTAGGAAGACCGTAACCTGTGTGGGATGCCTACGTATCCCGCCACGAAAGACGAGAATCAGGTATGCGTAGTTCAGGAAGATTGAATATGGGAGAAAGCTTTTAAAAAATGCAACTAACTTGGAAAAATAATATTTTTTGTCTTTTTGAAAAATGATGAAAAATGTAAAATCTTTTTGGGTTTTCTTTTTTTTTTTTTTTTTGAATTTTGGGAAAACCATGAAAGAAAAATGTGAGTGAGCCCTACTTGCTTCATTGTATACTTCACCTTCTTTTCTCTCATTGGTCTGTCAAATGACCCATTTACCCTTAAAGAACACAGCATGTAGCACATAGGGAAGATTAAATATCTTTTTGGATCACGGGTCAACTTTGACATAATTTGGATAGGCCTCCTACAAAGGGACACGGTGCCTGGGACCGAGCCCTGCTAAGTGTAAATGACATGATGAAAGTAAGCATGACCTAAAAGTTGACCTAAGTTTGAGGGTTCACTAGACAAGGCAATTCGGGGCGGCACGTGATCGATGGCGGCTGCTCAAGTTGTCCGCCCACTCCACGCTCCCAAGCGACCCCCCTAAAGACATAGGTAACTCACAAAAGGGCCGTGTACACTCAAACATACTCCGGAAGACTTGTTGCAGAAAGAAGACCCATGGTTGTGCAAATGATGATAGATATAAAGCAGTAAACACATAAGGAAAAACAATAAACAAATAAACGACAAAACAAGGAAATCAGAAAAACAAACCAAGAAACAAAGCAAATAAAGAATACAAATACCTCAACCGAATATCCTAAAAGGCCAACAAGATCAAGTATCAGCTCGAAACTGCAACTCCCCAGCAGAGTTGCCAGAGCTATCAAACCTCCTTTTTTAAACCTCACTAACCCTCTTAAAAATAATAAAAGGACTGGTAAAGCTCAAAAGGATTTTCCAATTAGAAAAGTGACAAAATACTCTGTTCAAAGGATTTTCAGAGTCGCCACCTGACATTTGGTTTCGGTGTGTTAGGTCACCGTTTTTAAAATAACAATTTTCCTTCAAAACACATTTGACTCTTAAACCAGTTTGCACCAGAGATTCAAGGTTAGGGGGTACATTTGACTCGAGGAGAAGGTGTTAGGCATTCCCCGAGTCCCGTAACTAGTACGGTTTCGTACATGATCCAGTTGTCCTTTTAAAATATTCAAATAGGTTAAAACACAGAAAAAGGAAAGTAAACACAACAAAGGATTGAGGTATTCCCCACCTAATAAATGAAAAATAGAAAAAGAAAAGTAAGTAAAATCCTAAACACTAATATATACTATACTTTTTCCACGAGGTTCGTCACGGCATCCAAATACATGATACTATGGGGCATACCCCGGATAAAATATATACAAATTCTACGGGGCATTCCCCGGATAAACTTAGCTAAAAGGGGCGACCTCTCACCTCAAAAGAAACTAAAATACGAACGCCCTAAAGGTTTGCCTACCCATGACGGCCTTAACCATGCTACTAGCGGGTGACATAATAGATAATAAATAAATAAACAAAAGAGAACTAACTAAGAGATCATGCTCCAATTGAATTGATTCTATTTAACTTAACCCCACGTCCCATTTTCAGCAAATTAGACCAAACAATTATTGATTTAAACTAATTTAACCCCAACAATCCTTGCCTCGTCTTAATTCAATTCACACGCCCCGTTTCAAGTATTTCTAATTTATATTCATCAGAGTTTTGCTCATAAATATTTTCCATCCACTATTCATACTTATATTTATCACATACAAAAAAGTTAAGAAGGCAACATCATATCATTCCATCATAACATATGAAAATAATCAGCACAAATAGAAGATAAAGGGAGAAGAAATGGACCTCAGCAACCTTTCCTTTTTAATTAGCAAAATTCCATTACAGCAAGTTTTGTTGAGCTAGATGCGACTGGAGAATGAAAACAGGGACTAGCTTGAACAGCGAATTTGCCTGGAACTCGAACCACAGCTTGAGACTAATGGTGAACCTCTCGCACCAGCTGAGATGTTAACGGAGTTAAAGGACGTCGACGCCGACAGCAAGGAAACGACGTCCTCTATTATGAACTGAGAATGAATTCGCCGAAACCTTTACTATTACAAGTGAACCCGATTTTCGATGATTGGACTGATCTCGAACTCTTTGTTGTTTTGTCAGTGTGAGAATTTATTGGAGATGAATTTTGAAGGGACGGAAGTGTTTGGATGGTAGTCACATCCTTGAGCTTACAGGTAGAGTACAGAAGATTGAACTTTGCACTATTTGGTATTTTGGAGAGTGTAAGTGTTCTTCAGTGAGTTTTTTTTAAAGTCCAGGAAAACAACTACTTCATTAAAAGGATGAATTCATGAAGATGAACTTTCCTCTCTCAGCTTTTCTATGTTCGTTTTCACTCTTTCTATCCCTTCCCAGCATCGTTTCTTTTTCTGTTTTGTGTGTGTGTGTCGTGTTGTGTTGTGTTGGTGGTTGCCGAATTTTCGGCGAAATTGGGTGGCGGCTGCTTTTGTTTTTTACGAGGTTAGGTCTTTCTGAAAGGTTAGGGTAGGGGGTGTGCTGAAGTTTAGGGGTGGTGCGATGGCTGGATCTTGGAGAGGAGGGGGTGTGGCTCTCCAGGGTTAGTGAAATTGGGTCTCTTTTTAGGGAAGTTAGGGTATGGGCTAAGGGCTTAATTCCGAAAATGGGCCTAAAAAATGGATTGTTTTAGCCCAAATTTGATTTTTTCTCGTTGAACAAGACTAAAAGTACTACCCACATATACTAATTAATCCTACTTAAGTAGAAATAACTATTAAAATAAAACTAACCGTTAAAACAAACCTATTTTTGGTATTTTTTAAATATTATACTAAAAAATAAAATGGGATTAGATTAAAATCATCGCAAAATTAAAATAATATTCATACCAGAAATACTAACATTTTTTTTAAAAACAAAGTGGAACTATTTTTGTATTTTTATTTTAATTTTACGAAAGGTAGATAAACTTTTTTTTTGAACATAACACACGGATATTATATATATAATTAAGCAAAATTACATAGTCATGGCAGATGTTTTTAGGGCACTAGTGTTACCAATAGATGCCAAATAGTTACAAACATTATTAGATAAAGTCCTAATGCCATTACAAACTCCATGCTTGTCCTTAGTAACTTCTTGCTCAACAAAAAAGGGTGGACGTGCATGGTAATAACACTTAGACGTTAAAACATTTTTGGTGTCTTGCTTGGCTAGTATATGGGCCACCATATTTCCTTCTCTAAAATTATGCTTCAGCATTTGGATATTTAGTTGGTGCATTAGCCATCTGCATTCACAAACAATATTAGAGTAGTTAGAGTTATTCTCGTAAATGAGCTTAATAACCTCAGTGGAATCAGTTTCAATTTCCATCATAGTGAAGTTCATGTCTCTTGCTATTTTTAACCCTTCTAGTATTGCTTGTAGCTCTGCATGGATGGGAGAAACTGCTTGGCATGATTTATGATAGAGCCTACAATCCAATCCAACTAATTTCAACCTTTATAGTTTTTTCCACAAAAGGATTTCTTTCGGTGAAGAAGGTAAATTCCCAAGAAGCATGGATAACCTTTATTATGTCTAGGTTGTTATTCAAGTTGTTGATGTTATTATTTCCTATTTTACCATAGTTCCCATATACAACAGGGGAATATAGTAGTCCACTTCCCGGGAGAGTTGCAATTATTAATAAAGAAATCTCTTAAATTTGCTAGCCAGTCTTTTTTTCCCCAATATCCAAAGGTGGGCAGCCCATTTTTTCCCAGAAGTGCTTTGAGATAGAACAACTTGTAAAGATGTGTTGTATGTCCTCGAGTCCTACTCTACAGATTGTACAGTTGGGATCAATATTGATACCTATTTTAGCTAGGTAAGCCCAACAAGAAATATTGTTGTACATGCATTGCCATAAAAAGAATTTAATTTTAACAGGGCATTAGAGCTCCCAAATCCATTTAAAGGGTCTTGTGGTAGAGTCATATTCATGGAGTAGTTTATAGCAAGACTTAGTCGAAAAAATACCCGATGAGTTAGGATGCCAACTTATTTTGTCAGTTGTTGAACCCTTGCCAGGAACAGGAGTGATGTGGATGTTGTTAAGGATATTGTCGGGTAGTTCAAATGAGATGACCTTGCTATTCCATTCATTCTTATGAATCAGGTTTTTGAAACAAAGCTCATGATCATTTTTATTAAGAGAACCTTCAATTAGGCTTCTAAGTGGTTTAGAATTGTAAATCCAATTGTCGTTTCAAATGTCAATTTTGGAGTTGATACAAGGGTGCCATAGGATCCCCTTATTGCAAACTTTCCAACCTTGCAAAATGGATTTCCAGATGAAGGAGGAGTTATTTATGGTTTTTCTAGTGCTATATTTGGCTATCAAAATTTTTCCCCAGGGTGATGAAGTATTATTTAGGAGTCTCCAAACAAGACTAGAAAGAAGGGCTAAATTTTTAGAATTTTCTTGATGAATCCCTTGACCTTCCTCAGTTTTATCCTTAGTAACAACTTGCCAATTGATTAGGTGAAGCTTTTTGGTGGAGTTAGTGAAAACCCAGATAAAGTCCCTTTGGACTTTGTCAATTGTTTTTAGTATTTTAGGAGGGAGAAGAGTATATTGCATGGAGTGTGTAGGATAGCACCCAAAGTGCTTGAGGCCAAAGTAGTTCTTCCTGCCATGCTCAAGAAGGAACATTTCCAGTGTGACAATTTGGATTGCATTTTGTCTATGATAAACTGGAAGTCTTTTGTTCTAGGAGAGTGGCTAAGAATTGGAAATCCTAGGTAATTGCCAAATTCCTTAGTTTATTTGATACATAAGAGGTCTGTTAGAAAATTTTTTAAGTCTGGGGGACAGTAGTTTGGCAGCACAATTTTTGACTTTATTTTGTTAATGGCAAGTCCTGATTCAGTGAAAAAGAAGTCAAGGCAAGATTTGATACATAAGCTTGTTTTTTTTTTAGCTTTGCCCACTAAGGTAATATCATCCGCAAAGAAGATGTGGGAGAAGTTTGGATATTTATGTTTAAAATAGATAGGGTCCCATTGTAACGTATCTACTTGATAATTTATTAGTCGAGATAGTAATTCAAGGCAAAGAATGAAAATATAGGGGGAAAGGGGTCACCTTGACGAATTCCTCGACTTGGTTGGAAGAAGCTAGTTCTCACACCATTTACTATGATACTCATAGAGCTTGTACATATGCAATGCATTATTAGACGGGATAGTTTAGGGGGAAATTTAAAAAACTTGAGAGCTTTATAAACAAAGGAGCATTCCAACCGGTCAAAAACTTTTTCTAAGTCTAATTTAATGATCATGTCAAAATTAGATTTCTTATTTTTGTGTAAATTATTCATGATCTCTTGGATTATAATAGCATTGTCACACGCTCTCCTATTTTTAATGAAACTAGCTTGCATTGGGCTAATAAGATAAGGGAGGTAAGGCTTTATCCTATTAGCAATAATTTTTGTGATGATTTTAGAGGAGGTATTGCAAAGGCCAATTGGCCGGAAATTTTTGAGGTTATTCGCGTTGGGAAATTTGGGTATTAGACAAACAAAGGTATCATTGAATCCATTAGGAAGGGATTGGGATTCAAAAACTTTGTGACAGTAGCTAGTAATGGAGGGGCCAATTGTATGCCAATATTTTTGTTTAAAAAAAAGGATGAATGCCATCCGGACCTGGAGCCTTAAAAGGTTTGAAAGAGAATAGGGCATTTGTAATTTCAGAATTATTAAGAGGATTATCAAGGCTACTTAGGTCAATTTTTTTATGGAAGGAAGCCTCACCAAGGTTGATGTTATTAGGGGAAGATATTTTTGAGGTCCTAAAAGCATTTTTAAAGAAACTTTGCCCATGGTCTAGAATTAAATTTGGATCCAATATCCTATGACCATTATCATCAGTAACATACATAATAGCATTACGACGCTTACGATTTGAGGCCATTATATGAAAGAACTTGGTGTTAGCCTCACCTTCGTTAATCCAGCTTATTCTAGATCGAAGTTTCCAGAAATCATGTTCCATTGAAAGAATGGAATTATACTCGTGTTGTAAATTGGATTCCAGATCTTGTAAGAAATTGCTCTTGTGATAATTAGGAGAGGATTGGATGCCACTTAGCCTAGCTAGAATCCTTTTTTTCTTTTTGAAAATATCACCAAAGGTCTCATTTTTCCAACTAATTACTTCATTTCTAAAAGTGTTTTGAGCATTGAAAAGGTTATCACTAATCCAACAGTGTTTAACTAGATTAATGAAATCCGGATGCCTACACCAAATTGTTTCCAGACGAAAGTGTTTATTAAAGTGGTTAACATTTTTTGGGCAAAGAATCAGTAATAAGGGGTTGTGATCCAAGTGTGTTTTAGGGAGGTGAATTACCATAGCTTTGGGGTATAAGGATAGCCAATCCTCATTAACAAAAATTCTGTCTAACCTTTCCAAAATAAGCCCTTTTGATTTTTTCCTTAGATTAGATCAAGTATACTTAGGACCTTTATAACCTAGGTCTAATAGTCGACACTTATTAATACTATCCCAAATAGAGTTGCTACGTCTATGATTAATAGGATTACCCCCTAGTTTGTCATTAGAACTAATCACATCATTAAAGTCTCCCCCTACCATCCAAGGGCCTTTGTAATTAGCACTAATATTTTCTATATTTTTCCATAAGACATTTCTTTGGTCTATTTTTGTACTAGCGTAAATAGAAGAAAACAACCAAGTGGAGTGAGAAGGAGTTACCTCAACCAATGCATGGATTTATTGATTCCTCCTAACAAAGTTGTGCACCTTAACAAAACTAGCATCCCATAGAATAACCATACCTCCAGACTGGCCATCACTTGGAACTTCGATCATTTCAGAGAAGGCGTAGTCGCTTAAGAAAGAAAATTTGCTTTCCATTCTAGTTTCTATCAAGGTAACCATGCACGGCCTATGGGTGTCTATCATTTCTCTAAATTTAACCCTAAAATTTTCATTGTTCCCCCACGGATGTTCCAAATAATAATGTTTGTAGGTCTAAACATCATTGCTTGGTTGTTGGTTGGACCATTGTCCGTTTGAGTTTGAAACACTGGGTTCCTCCTTAGGCTGGTGACTAGGATCATTGCATGATTCCCTACTGTAGGATCCTGGGGTGGCCTCACATCCATTGAGCACTTGTATAGTGCTGGGGGGCAACTGAGCACATACCTCTTCTCTAGGAGGTCCCTGAAGAGAAAGACTTTTACCTCGTTGAGGCTTGAAAATTCTAGGACTGCACCGGACCCTAGTAGGCTTATCTCCTCTTCCTCTTCCATTAGGACATTTTCTGGTTCTGGAGCATTGGGAGGGACTTGGACTGGTGGATCTAGGTTTACTACTGGGGGTGGGACAACATGTGGTATTTGGGGTGGTACATTTTGTGGATTTTCTGGTTGGACTGGGTTTGCATCGGGAAGAGCTTGCATGTTGTGGTTGCCCTGGGCTTGTGGGTTGTTCAATGGTAGGAACCATGGCATGAAGATGGGGTTCATGTTTGAGATTTCTCCCGGGGGAAAAAGGGTAGTTCCAGTTGGGAGGAATGATTTTGGATGGGGTT